TCTCTCTCTCTCTCTCTCTCTCTCTCTCTCTCTCTCTCTCTCTCTCTCTCTCTCTCTCTCTCTCTCTCTCTCTCTCTCTCTCTCTCTCTCTCTCTCTCTCTCTCTCTCTCTCGCACTGCGCGCGCAAGAATCGGGCGATGCAATCGCCTGGTGTGTCCACGACTGCGCGATAGAATCGGGCGATGCCATCGCCCGATGCCATGGGCCGATGCCATCGCCCGATGCAATCGCCTGGTGTAAGTGTAAGTGACCTAGGAAGTTGATTTTTGTAGCCACATATAGGTTTTTGACACCAAGGAATTGATTGACACCATTATTATACATTTTGAAGTTCACCTAATTAGAGGAAGTATAAGATATCTGTCACAGCTGGTTCAAACAGAAATCCTAATGTATTGTGACGAAGGGGTATATACTGTATCGTCAAGGAAATTCAATTGATGAGACTGCAGGAATTCAGCACTCTAGTCCCATGCTTGGGGGCAGTTCACTTGGTGAAAACTGTTTTGAAGTGCATTGGAAAAGCCAAGTGGAGCCGACATGACCTGGCTACAAGCCAGTCGCTTCACTGCAGTCGATGGTGGCCAGAAGCTTGAGCAAACTATGAACCTATCATCTGAATGCAGTGACGGAATCATCGGGCATGCCAAGCAGAAGCAGTACGTTGCTCAATGGGACTTGATCTACCATGAAATGATGGCAGTAGAGAATCTGCATCGGAGATATGCTGATGTGATGGAGAGGACACGAGTCCTTTAACCACCACGAGTCATCCCAAGCTACTACAGTTTACAATGGTAAATTTCATTGAAGAGGACTCCCCCATGCTGCATAATTTCGTGACAAAGAAGATCATGGCAAAATACATCAAATATGACATACTGTGCCTTCGCAAAAGGAGAAGAGAAGTACTTGACATTTCAACTCAAAGGGTCCGTACAGTAAACCACAAGACTTTAGGGAAAGCATTCATCGATCGAACCTGAAAACAATGAAAACAAATCAATACAAGCCACAGAAGACCATCAAGAAAACAATGACGGAGATGAATGTTGTAGGGGGAACGACTGAATTCGCCCGGGGTCTTAGCCTCATGACTACCGAGGACCTCTTGAAATATGATGTTGCACCTTCACCTCACCTGTTCAATGAGGACAGGATGATGATCAGCTCAGCGAAGAGCCTGTCAATTAAGGAGTTGGAAACTAATCTCAAACCTGAGGACAATGAATATAGCCATCGGAAGAACGCTTCATTTGGCATAGACATAATGGCCACAGTTTGTAAGCTTCGTGTGACTAGCCTCTCCAGCTTCAAGGATCTCCTCAGTTCGAGCGATGTGACATGACGTGTTCGACATGTACTCTGATGAACCCTCATTGACGTATAGCGAGAGAATGAGGCGCATTGAAACTGTACCAATCGAGTACAGTTCAATTGAACCAGGGACATCTCTACCAAAGGCGATGGAGAGATTCTGGCCTTCAGACATGAATAAGCTTCTTCTTGAGAAGCTGATCTACTGCCATCTTTGTTCAAATACTTCCGAAACATTACAATACCCCACTGTACTCGGAAAAGTGACCAAGGAAGACGAGGATTGGATTGCATCATGGTCCATCAAGGCCAGGAAAAAGTATTGCCCCACACCTTAAAGCGCCATTTGAAGTAGCTGACCTTCGAATACTCATCCACATCTTGGACTCTCTCAATGCAGGAAACAAAGTATGTAGTGTGTTGTAATCTCCAACGATACAGTTGTCATTGTTGCTCTGCTCTACCACATGCCGGTCTTTCACCAACACAGCTTTGAGGAGCTATGAGTGCGAGCTGGGATGGGAGATCCAACTCGATATATACCCCTTCATACCCTGTGCCAGCATCTGGGAAATCGGCTCTGTGCAGTACTGCTGGCTATACACAGTCTTACAAGGTGTGACATAACCAGCAAAGTTGGTACAAAGAACAGCTCTAAAGGCAGAGCCTGAAAGGTTTCTGAAACACTTCGAGGAATCACCAACCTTCTCTCCGGCCATGACCCACAACGCCGAGCATTACCTAGTAAAGGTACTGAAAAGAGGTAGCGATGCTAAATGTTTCTCTGGATATCGAGGAGAGGTTTTCTGCATCAGCAAGGAGGTTCTCCCCACAGCCTACCTCCGACTAGTCAGGGACTCCTGCCCCATATCAAGCGTGAATTCTACAATGCCTACACTATCAGCCATGCATTGGAGTGCCACCTCAACTTTGAAAACGTTGAGACACTGGAGCCAGAAAATTGTGGCTATGTGAATGACCACACATAGCTGGTACCCGCAACATCGTGGAAAACCCTCGAGCCTCATTGATCAGTCTCCTGTTCCTGTGCTAAGTGTACAAGTACAAGGTACAAGTCTGGGATGAAATGTGGTAAATGTTGTCGGTGCAGGAAACCATTACCACATGCTTGTAACTAGACAGAGGGCACTCACGGAGAGTGCATACCTCTGCCAGCATGTAACATGTATGTGTTACGAGCTGGCTCGCTGCGCTGGCTGGCTGGCTTGCTGACTTGACGTGGTAATATCGATCACGCGAACCCACAAGAACGATCACATAACCTCCTCCAACTCCGTTGGGCGGAGGTAAAGGCCCAATTGTTTGATAGGATTAGGCTGAGTTCTGGTAGGTTGTCTAGCATGCTTATTGCAGCTGAAGTTCGGTTAGGGTATATACATTGTATTCACTTACTAGCGGGATACCCGGCGTTGCCCGGGGAAATCAGTGGCGTTACTCAGTTGGTGACCGCTTGGTTGAAAGGAAAATACCCAAAAAAATCTATCTATCTATCTATCCATGCATGCATCCATGGATCCATCCATCCATCCCATTCCATGCCATTCCATCCCATCCCATCCCATCCCATCCCATCGCACCTCATCCCATATCCCATCCCATTCCATCTCATCGCATCCCATGCCATGCCATGACATCCCATCATCCCATGTCATCCCATTCCATCCCATCCCATCGCACCGCATCCCATCCCATCCCATCCCATGCCATCCCATCCCATCCCATGCCATAGCATCCCATCCCATCCCATCCCAACCATAAAAAAATTATAAGAAATCAAAAGATAAAAGATATTAAATATTAAAAATAATACATACTAAAGAGGTAGGTAAAGGGAAAAAAAGGAAGAATGGGGAAAATAAGTTCCCCAGCTGGGACTCGAACCCGGAATCCCGGTGTAGGAGACGGATGTTCTGGCGATTAGGCCACTGCACCATTAAGGTTATACACCATGGATTCACACGTACGTGATGTTAATCTGTACGCACCGCCATCTATTGATGAATGGAATTTTTATCATTTTTTAACTTTTTAACTTTTTAAATTTTTGTTTCAGCCAGAACCACCTCCCAGACGTGCTGATTCTGAAAATATCTTTAGTTTTCCTCTAGGCTGCGGAGTTCTCTAGTTATGCGAGTACGGACGAATTCGGCTGAACAACTTTATATATATATAGATAATTGAGTATGGTAACAAGGAATATGTTAGACTAATTGTAATACAGAAATATGGGTACAATTTAATGGTAATGGAACTTAGGGAATGTGTATAATAGTCTTTGTTTAAACGGGCACGTGAGTCCAGCGAGACGCCTATGCGTGTCGCCCAATGAGAGCGCTACACATTCCCGCGTGACCATAACCTAAGACAATGGAGAAGGACGCGCGTATATAAACGAGAAACGCTTTTGTGCGCGCAGTTCGTCTCTCCTCAGTTTACTTCTCTTCTCAACGTCTCTACTATTTGCTAACTCGGCGTCATACGTGCAGACCACTGTTGCCAGCACCGTTGTACCTGTCATCTCTAAATCGTAAGTTATGTTGATTGCGCGTACACCTATGTACACGTTCTGCCTGGTTCATGGGCGTTACGTTAGCTTAGTTGATAAATATTAAAAAGGTTGTTGTACTTATATATGTAACTCACTCTTGTGCAATTTCTATATGCCGATGATACGCTTTCAATACCGATCATATACGGTACCACTATTCGATCACGGGAATACGCTAATGGTATTTTTCACGAAAGCGTCCACCTGTACAGTTCTATGATGCATGTATATCTTTCAATCATCTTTCTATGGGACAATTCATGTCTTAATTTCGCTTTTGGCAGACATCTTATGCTGCCTCTAATTAGGTGAACTCCAAAATGTATAATAATGGTGTCAATCAATTCCTTGGTGTCAAACACCTATGTGTAGCCACAAAAAAATCAACTTCCTAGGTCATTTACTTAAGGAGTTACAAAATTTTCAAAGGCTGCTATTTGGGGGTAGGGTTGACCCTGCGTTACAACCGCCCCCCTATGCATTATATAGAGCCCAGATGTCTCATTATGAAGCTTGGGTCACCCAGAGCACTTAATAAGGAAACTTTTGGCCAATTCTGGCATCTCTAGCTACAATATTGGGCGAGTGAGAAGCAATCGTACTTAGAGCTACTTTCAAAGTGACCACGATTTTTGGCTAAAATTGAGCAAAATGTAGCCATTTCGCACCATGAAACAATGTTTATGGCAACAAATCATGCTGGAAAGTTGTTAGTAATACTGATTCAATGTAATTCAGTGCAATTTGAAAGTTTATGGTTGATTAATAAAGAATTATGCTCTGAAACTTCAATATTGTCATTTTTTCACTTTGGCGCCTAACCGAAAATCACATAATGGGCTGTACAGAAAAACGTACTAGACCCAGAAGTGTTACCCAAACTGTTTTTGAGAGTCATACCATAAGGAATCAGAAAATATAAGGTTTTGCTCTAAAAGAGTCATGTACACTCCCCCCCCCCCAGAGCCTAGACTAGCCTCAACTACTGTGAGTCATTTCGTTACGAAATCAGCTACTGCGAGTTATTTCGTTACGAAATCATGCCCCCGGCGCGCCAAGTGTCGCATGACTGATTTCGTTACGAAATCAATGATTTTGTAACGAAATCTATGGGGCGCCAAGTGTAGCATGGGGGTACGTGCGTGTACCCGCATGCACGTGCGTGTATCCGCGTGTACGTGCGTGTACCTGCGTGTACGTGCGTGACTGCGTGTACCGCGTGTACGTGCGTGTACCCACGTGCACGTGCGTGTACCCGCGTGTACGTGCGTGTACCCACACACAAAAATTCACACACACACACACACACACGCACCACACCACACACACAGAAACGCAACGCGCGCACACACACGCGCACGCGCGCACACAACACACCCGGGCGGCACACACGCACGCACACACAACACGCAAAAACGCACGTGCGCACGCACGCACGCACATACACACACAACACATGCACACGCACGTACATAGAAACACATGCGCGCACACAGACACACGCACACACAACCACGCACGTGCGCACGCACGCACGCACGCGCACACGCACGAACACACACACACACACACACACACGTACACGCACAGACACAGACACACACACACACGCACGCACGCACACACACACACAAACACGCGCGCACGCGCGCACACACACACACAACCACGCAAAAACGCACACGCGCACAGATACACACACATACTACGCACGCACGCCCCACCCCCAATACACCGACACAACCACGCAAAAACGCATACCCCGCACGTGCGCACGCACGCGCGCAGACACTACACACACACGCACGTACGCGCACAGACACACACACGCGCTCACACGCGCACGTACGTACACGCAACAACGCACACACACACACACACACACACACACACACACACACACACACACACACACACACACACACACACACACACACACACACAACCACGCAAAAACGCACTCGCGCACAGATACGATCAATGATTTCGTAACGAAATCACGTCTACAAAGTCATTTCGTTACGAAATCAGTCATGTGACACTTGGCGCCCCATAGGTATCTCCTGCTATTTTATATTGTTGATATATCTATTAATGTCATGAACTGTATTCTATATCTGGTCCAATTATGAGAGTTTGAATCTCAACTTCAGGTGGTTGGTGAGATCCAGGAGTCAGTGAAGACAGGCTGTTGGGTCGGTGACTGCTTCATTTATACGAACAGTGTCAACAGACTAAACTACTATGTAGGAGGAGAGATCGTCACAGTGGCCCACCTCGATCGGTATGCTTAGTCTGCTGGCCTGTGTGTGTATTATCACCTGTATTAATTTGCATGTGTTCACTCTCACCTGTGTGTGCTGTAATCTGAGTGTACACCCACCCGTATTCACTCACCTGTATTCGCTCTCACCGATGTACACTCACCTGTATTCACTCTCACCGATGTACACTCACCTGTATTCAATCATCTGTGTACACTATCGACTGTATTCGTTCACTTCTGTTTATATTTAGCTCATCTGACATATTCAGATGCAGCTTGTAGAATCGCATGAGCGTGCGTTCGTGCGTGCGTCCGTCCTGTCCGTCCGTCAACAGTTGGGCACTTGTAAATCTAAACGGCTCGACGTACGGATTCGAAAGTTGGGACGGGTGGGGGGGGTAATTCGAAAACGAGTTGGGATGTCGAAGCTGGGGGTCAAAGCTCAAAGCGTCAAGAGGTGTAAAAGAAGGGAACATTTCCTCCTTAATTTAAGGTATAGGGAGGAAATGCAGAATTGCGCACAAATCTAAACGGCTTGACCTAGGCTCGTGATAGTCAGTGTATAGCATCATGGTAGGAAAAGCCATCATCTACTGCCGAAATTGGAGGTCACCGGTCAAAGGTCAATGGGGCACAGGGCAGATTTTAGACATTTTCTGAAGAAACATGGTCTGACGGAGCGATTGAAAAACTTTTTTGTTTCAGCAGTGACCTACCATTTTTATGGCTTTATTGAAAGGACCATAAATGTACTTTCCGCTGACATGCGAAGAGTAAGTGTCGGATAACCTTTTGACCCTCAAGAGGAGGGTTAAACATGGATTTGTTGACTGTTAACAAAGGACTGAACTGCTTTTGCTATTGTGGATGTGAGGCTACAGTTGTACAGTTCAATTGCAAATAGACCGGGAGCCCAGGGGGGTCAGCCTAGCTGGAAAAGAAACCAATTTTCATGCATATCGCAATGATTCGTGTACATACCCATCTAAGGAAATGTAAATCTGGCGGGCAGCCGCTGGTGGGTGTGGTCAGTGGGGTCATTTGAAAGGACCCCAAAATTGAGCTAGATTAGCTGGAGAGAAAACCCCATAAACCCTATTGGAAAATGTTTGGCATGGTCCCAGGTATCGTGAATGGCCACTGCCAGAATAATTCAGTGGTGGGTGTATCCGCCAGACGCCCCCAACCCCAAAATTGAGCTAGATTAGCTGGAGAGGAAACCCCATGAAACCTATTGGAAAATGTTCGGCATGGTCCCATGTATCAGGAATGGACACTGCTAGAATTTTTTAGTGATGGGGTGCATGCGCCAGAGCTAAAAGAAAACGTTACCCCAAAATTGAGCTAGATTAGCTGGAAAGGAAACCTTCTGGCACCCATTAGAAAATGTCCGCATAGCCTCAGGTATCGTGA